CCCCAAAACCCCAAAACCCCAAAACCCCTCGTGAATAGAATTAGAATCACAATTGAAATTAAGAAATTAAATAAATAGATAAACTTAATTAGGTTAGATAGCATAATATTCACTCTGCTTTTCTTGAGATATTTGTTAGACCGACACCAATACAAGAAAATATAAATGTCTTTGGAAAAGTAGGGATATCTTTCTCCTCCTTATTCTTTGTCTACTTCTCGCTCTACTCGCTTTCACTCTTCTCAGATTCACTTTCATTCATTTGACTATCTTCATTTTCTTTGGCATCTTCTTCTTCACTGTCAGATGAGTAAACTTCATCATCACATTCTGTAATCTTAAACTGAACGTTGAAGAATTATTTGATATGCCTCAACATTGCTATAGATTATTGAGTAATTCTGCCTATTTTGAGAGAACTAATGTTATCAGAAGAAGCTAAGGCCATTAATAACAGGGCAAAGCACTGATTAGATGAGTCTACTGCTCCACCGCTGAATATTTCATCTAGAAGTGCTAAGGCAGCTCTCTAACCTAGGTCTTCTGGTAATTTATAGTCTTGAGAATTGTAATTAAAATCCTTTGTGAAAATCATGCCAGTTGTGGTCTCTGCTACTAATGAAATAGCATAACCTGGCTGATCACCACATTGACCTTTCTTATAATGATCTGTATGAATCCAAACATCTGGAATGTAGTCATTAAAGACTTCTCTCAACTTATCTACCACTCTGGTGGTAAGCTGTGGTGAGACCTTAGCGCTAGTTAATAAACCTCTAATCCTCTTTACTTTTCCCTCATCTACCATACTAACACTCTCAAGTTTCTTTGCATATCTCTACATCACTTATACAATACCTCCTCCTAATGGAGCGTATCCTCTTTTCTTAACCTAGATATCAAGTGAACCATCTGGCACTCCAAACTGCTTAATAAGATGTGTCCATGTTGACTTAAAGCTATCTATTGATTGATCTATATTATCATCAGTATTTCCAGTTAACGTCATATTCAATACAGTTTTTCCAAAAATCACGATTGGAATAACTACTTCTAGATAGTAAGTGATATTTCTGCCTAGATGGCAACTGTGTTCAATAGGCATACCTTCATTACAGTCTATCATGCCTGGTCTAAAGATCAATCTAGTACCTGTCTTATTGATGTTGACTTGGCATCCATTTGTGACTTTCTCAAGTAATTTCAGCAATGACATCTCAAAATCTGTAAGGCCTGGATTCTGCTCTTAAGATCTAATATTCTTGATAATAACCTATCTATGTGAGAGAATTGAAAGGACTAAAATCTATCTCAGGTATTGATGACCAAAGAACTCTAAAGGAGCTTATTGTAATGACATTATTTTTATATTTGTTATATATATGTAATACTACTCTCAACTCTCAACATATCAATAAAGTGGGGTTTTGGGGTTTTGGGGTTTTGGGG